AGTGGAAATTTAATCTCGATTTAAGATCGATTTACCATATTCTGATTATTATCTATTAAACATCTGCAGATAAACTGATTCTGAGCTGCTGGTTATGTTGTTACTTGATGATCAGACAGAAAATAAGGTCGTTCAGAAGAGCAGAGATTCGACCCGGGATTGTATGAACCCAGAAAACATCAACACAGGAAGTATATTAGTTACCACGGAGCCTATTTTTGTTTATATTTTGGCAGATTAGTTCCATAAACAGTCCCTAAAGGAAGCAGCGAACAGATTTCACCAATCACAGCAGTCCCTCTGGTAAAACGTTGAGCCATACGTCACCAAACTCACCTCCTTGTTTCAGTTGTGAAGATGCAATATTTACCAAGAAGAATAACTGCTAAAGTTCCCCGATGTTCTCCATAAAAGTGGAATAAACTGGTTTTGTTGTGGTGGAACAATTTTCACTTTCCTGTAATTTCGGAGCCGAAATGGAAAAACAAACTGCATCGCAACATGAAAAGAGTTTGGTTTAAACGGTGATCTGACTCTATGAAGTGTTTTATTATCATCTGTTATCATTTGCAACTTAGTTTGAAAATCTGCTGTGAAATCAGATGAACCTTCAGGACTGATTAAAGAGTGCTGGATGATCCATCAGCACACAGTTTGCAGTGCAGCCGCTGATGACAACTCTCACTGCATCACTTTGATACTGAAGAAAAGTTAAAAACATGATGATTCTGCAGCTGTAAGAAGGATCTTTTTTTCTATGATTTCGATGCTGAATTCTGGACGTTTGTTCACTGAATGTAAATAACTTCATTAATCCGAGACAAAGATCATTCAGGTAGATAAACTGTGGTCACGGTAAGGTGAGGGTCAGCCAGCTAAAACAAATGTGTTAGAAAGAAGACAGACTACATTAACTACACTGTTAACTACACTTTTTAAATGGGCTTTTTAAGGTCTTTGAGCACCAAGAAAGAAATTCCTTTGACAGGGAAGGACACATAAAACCAGAACTATCGGTGTGGCTCGACACCACCAGGAGAGAATATGGCCTTTTTTTATTTTTTATTTAGGTGAACTGAACCTTTAAACTGGCAACGCACTCATATCCTCTTAAGGCAGCGGAGAAGAGTTTGAGGTTATTTCGCTTTCTGTGTAATAAATTAAATCCTGAATTCCCTTGAGACAGCAGATAACGGAGGTATAATGGACACGTACAATCGTCTGAATTTCTAATGAGCTTCTGTATTGTCTCTGATATAAAAATCCACAGCTCATATTAAAGTTGATCTTCTCTTTTATGAGCTGATGTCTCCGGGTTATCTGATTCCAGACCTGTGATTGTATGTCCGTACTGTACCGAAGGCACTGACAGCAGCGCGTCTACGACTGGTATTCCTTCAGTAACTGGCCGGCAATGACCAGCCTCTGGATCTCGCTGGTGCCCTCGTAGATCTCCGTGATGCGAGCGTCGCGGTAGTGCCTCTCTGCGGGCATGTCCGACACGTAACCCATCCCCCCCAGAACCTGGATGGCCTGATTTAAAAGAACAAAATAAAGGAACATTAAACGTTTGTATCTCTTCTCTGGATCTTTACATTCGTTGTTGGTTTCTTACCTGATGGGAGCAAAACGTGGCGGCTTCAGACGCCGCTAGTTTGGCCATGGCGGCTTCCTGCAGGAAAACAGAGGCGGGTTAATGCCCGTCACTCTGCAAGAACTCGTTAAGATGAGAGGCGACTGCGTACCTTGGTGAAGGGTTTCTTTGCATCTCGAAGGAGCGACGCCTTCCAGGTGAGCAGACGAGCGCCCTCTATCGCCACAGCCATGTCCGCCAGTTTGAACTAAAGGATGTGAGAAATACACGATTTAAGTAACCAACGGGTCAGAGAACCTGATCAGCCTTCAGCAGTTAGCTAGTGTTTCTGTAAGTGGAGACCTAAACGTTAACCGAATGATCCATATTCAGCAGTTTGAATCCAACTAAATAGCTGCCCTGCACCAACTCCCTTTTAAAGAATATCAGCATTTTTATTAAACAATTCCTGAAGTGTTCGTACAATACACGTAACTCTAGAAACACGAGCTAAAGGCCGTCATAACATAAATTGTCCACAGTCCTGACTGTCAACTACAGGATCATATCATCCATTAAAGATATTCAGTGTATACTGATCAAGCTATCATCCATAAACGATACCAGTGTATACTGATCAATATCATCCATAAGATATCAGTGTATATGATCAATATCATCCATGAAAAGATACCAGGTGTATATCTGTCATATCATGCCATAAAGATACAGTTGTATATCTGATCAATATGCCATCCATAAGATACAGTGTATACGATCAATATCATACTATAAAGATACAGTGTATACGATGCAATTCATTCCCATAAGATCAGTTGTATGAAGCTCATCAATAGTCCATAAAGGATACAGTGTATAGCTGATAATAGTCCAAAAGATACAGTGTATACTGATCAATAGTCCATAAAGAACAGTGTATATCTGATGCAACTAGTCCATAAAGATAAAATATACACTGATCAATAGTCCATAAAGATAAAATATTCTGAAGTCAGAATCTGAACAGATTTTTTCGCCTGTTACCACGGTAACTACCAGTTTGCTGCTTCCTGTCTGGAGAGAGTTCCCCCCCGTCGTCTCCTCAGCTCCTATCTGAGGGCGTTTTGTTGGCGAGTGTAAAACCAGGATGTGTGAACTGTTCCCGGCTGATCCGGCTTTTATATAACTGGTTATAATTATTATTAATCGTTATTAGAAGATGAGTAGTGACAGTGAGGTGATGGCTACAGCTGCATTTCTACTATTGATGAAACAGTGAAAAACATCCCGTCTCTCAGCCGTTCCATGTTCAGCGTTGGTTCTGACTGCTCAGCCGTTTACCTGGATGGCCTGCAGTTTGCCGATGGGGGCTCCGAACGCCGTGCGTTTGTGTGCGTAGTCGGCGGCGCAGTCCAGAGAAGCCTGAGCGATACCGAGAGCCTGAGAAGCGATGCCGATCCGTCCACTGTCCAGAGTTTGCTGTGTGACACAGACAGAGACTCATTACCCAGCAGCACCGACACATTCAACCCCAGTGAGGATGAAGTGTCTCAGGTTCATTAAGGTGGTCAGCGTTTAACAGACACCCTGATCTATAAATATTGCTCTGACAGATTTAACAAAAACATGTTAGTTTGATACAAACCCCCAAAAAACTCATCATCATGATTTTAATAGTTTCTCAGTGAAATTTCTGTCACAATAATCACAGTATGAGGTTTTATTTATTGATAGAAGATATATAACGACACAAGGTGATTAAACAAGAATAATCTTTGGGGCTGGAGGGAGTGTGTGTGTGTGTGTATTATATCTATAGTAACATCTTCACTGTTTACTGGAACAGACACAGACAGTCTGACTTTATCCTGCAGTTCAAAACCACATTTTAGAGCTAACTGAACAGAAGGTGAAGCTGTAGTTCTCTCTACAACAATGATTGTTAAATAAAGTCCAGGAATTGAACACTGCACCTTCAGGAAACTTTTCACAAAGACAGAACTGCACCTGAGCACCATTATTGTTTTACTGAAACAGGACGAAGAGCCAATAAAGTCACGTGATGAGTAAGTCGAGAAGCGTAGTTGATATTCAGGAAACTCTACTCTGGGACGTTTCCGTGTTAAACTGGTTGTGAAAGGTTTACCTGAGTACTGAGGTGTTTTTTTAAATTGGATTCAGCTCTTATTTTGAAATATTAGCGTCTCCACATAATGAACTGCTTTTAATAAAAAGGTACCATTGCGATCTTGAACCCGGCTCCCCGCGGGCCCAGCATGTTGCCCAGCGGCACCCTGCAGTCCTCCAGGATGATGTTGGCGGTGGATGAGGCTCTGATGCCCAACTTATCTTCCTTCTTGCCCAGAGAAAGCCCCGGGTGTGGCATGGGGATCAGGAACGCACTGATTCCCTGCACACGGAAGATAAAAAGAAACAACGATCCCCATTGTTACAGAACAACAAACTCTTTATCTCCGTCATCTGAACGTTAAAAAAAAATGTGCCGCGTCATGCCTTGTGTTTGAGTTTCTTGTCCGTGGTGGCGAACACGACGGTGGCCGAGGCGTCCCAGCTGTTGGTGATCCAGGCTTTGGTTCCGTTCAGGACCCACTCATCGCCCTCCTGACGAGCTGTTGTGGAGGCCGCGCCCGCGTCACTGCCGTTACCTGGGAACCAATCATTCACTCTTTATAAAGGAACCAGTTTCAGTCTGTGGGATCAGGGAAAGGGTTCTTCAAGCCTATCAGATGTTTTCAGAACCAGGGTTCATTCACTCTTCCACTAAGACAGTTTGAGGGCCGGTTTGGACCCCGTGCCTAACCTGGAACCAGTTCTTCAGGTTTTAACAACCAGGGAAGCTCGTCCCAGCGAACACGTTGCTGGTCTAAAACCAAGAACTGTCGGGGGTCTGTTGCGGCTGGTTATGTATCTATTAGAGAATCTAGATCTGGTTCTGGGCTGGTGCCGGTTTGGAGTTGGTTCACCTTTTCCCACTAACCAGGAACCAGCTCCGTTCCGGTTCAAGCACCTGGTTCTGAACCAAAGCGGGCGTGTCATGTGGTTCCACTGGGTAACGTTAGCTGACCAGCAGCTTGCTAGTGTAAACTTGGTAACAACAGCTGGCGTTGGAGACGTATACAGTGATGAGGACGCGGGTCTATGTTAGAGCTCTACGCCGTCGAAGAGCAAACCGGTTCTTAGAAGGTTCTCATGTTAAACCAGTCCAGACCTAGCAGCAGCTCTGGGTTCATGTTGGTGGAAAGAGGGTAAAGGTACAATATTAGCCTACATTTGAAAAGCCCAGACATAGAAAACAGAACATTTCTGGCTTCATCCATCTGTTCAAATTGGGATTTTTTCATTAAACGCTGCAAATACAGAAACCAGGAGACACTAAAAACTGATGAACTCGACTGGAACTCAACATTATTTCTGCAGATGAGTTTTAAAATGTCAGATCTAATGTTTGTTATCGGTTAATTCATTAATTAAATGTCAGAAAATACAGAAAAATGTCTTCTTAAAACCTTCTACATTGGCTGTTTCTATACAGTTCTACCTGACGTTACCTGGCTCGCTGAGGGCGAAGCAGCCCACCTTCTCTCCGGTGGTGAACGGTGTGATCCACTGCTGTTTCTGTTCTTCGCTACCAAACTTCAATATCGGTCCGATGTAGAGAGACTGGGAACAGAATCACACAGCGGGCGGATGAACTGAGTGTTACACCGTGTTATTCAGAGTATCTACGCTGTCAGACTGTACTCACGTTGTTCACAGAGACCACCACCCCGGTGCTGGCGCAGCCTCTGCTGATTTCCTCCATAGCCAGACTGTACGCCAGATAGTCCATCCCGGCTCCTCCCAGCTCCTCTGGCACCTCTATGGCCATCACCCCCATCGCCCCCAACTCCTGGATCTGAACAGTGGACAGAGCAACCGACAGTCATGTGTTTGACACCTTAAACCTGCAAAAACTGATTATTCTGACCACTGTGGGGCAGCGGTTTGATGCTTACTTACACAGAGCAACATAATCATTCATTTAGGGTCGGGTCAGTCCAGTACTCGCTCTGATTTAGGTCTCTACCAACAGAGGGAAATATCTGCTCCCCTATGTTCACCAGTTCGTCTCCAGCTGTGTCTGTTTGCAGCTTATTTAAAACGACACAGAGTAAAGCTGTCACCTGAGACATGAACAATGAGCTGAAACTCACTAAAGCTCTGGAAAGCGGAGCTGCAGAATCAACTGATAATTCACTACTGGACCATTTACAGTTTAAAAAAAAGCCCAGGATCAACCTACCGTTAGTCTTTACTCTGATTTATTGTGAATCAGTGCTCCATATACCATATATCCATATCACAGCTGTAATTCAGAGTTTGGTGCTGAACCAGAGACAGCGTTCACATCGTCAAACATCTGATTCATAAAGAACCTCTTTGGTTCT